CGGAGCTACAGAGCCTGGGCGACGGCAGGCGAAGAAGTCAGTGACCCGGCTCTGCGCCATAGCGAGACCAGCTTTCGCGCCGTTTTCGCGCCGATTTCGCGCGGCTTTCCATCAGCTCCGCCCCATCCGGGCCGCCCCATCCGGCAGAGCGCGCGGGGTAGACTTGGGCGCTCCCAGCGCATGCGCCCTAGTGACGGGGTAGAAACCAGCAGCTCCTGCGCCGACCTCGCCCTGCCCGGGTTGCACCATCGGGCCTAGCTGAGGGGTGGAAAAACTAGAGGCGTCAAGCGCACGCGCACTGACGTGCGGGCGAGAGGCAGGCTGCGCCTGCGCTGAGGCGTCTCTTCCGAGTAGTCCGGGTGCGGTCCAGCAAGAGTTGCGGTCAGACGGCGCTGCGCCCTTAACGGTTGTTCGCCAGGGCGCGAATGCAGACCGAGTAGCAGGGACGGGCGACGGCAGGGGTCCGGACAAAGAAACTGCCCCTGAAAAAGCCTAGAGGCTAAAAAGACAGGGCCCAAATCCAGAGCTCCCCTGGCCTGGGCCTCTCGCCAGCCATTCCGGAGGAGAAGAGCAGGGCCGAGGGGTCCAGAACTAGAAAAGAACAGAAATATCAGTAGGGCGATACAATTGAAGCTTGCAAAATAGCCTCAAGCCTGAGAGGCTGGCTATGGATGCGGGCTGGGAGCGGGAGGGGAGGGCCGGTGCGGAGGGGCTCCTGGACTGTGCCCAGCCTGAGTGTGATTGGGGGTGGAACACTTCCCTGGCATGTGCGAGGCCCTGGGCTCAAACCCCCCGGGAAAAACAAAAACGAGGTGTAAGACTGTAATCAGCGCTTTCAAGGGATGTTTTGCTAGTTTTGTTTTGATACGTATGCCCTGGGCCACCAAGTAAAATGTGGGGTTTTTTGGTACCAGAGATCAAACTCAGGACCTTGCGCTTCTGAGGCAAGCAGCACCACTGGGCTAGATCCCCAGCCCTTGTTTTGTTTTTGAGATAAGGTCTCTGTGTAGTTCAGGCTGACCTTGAACTCGCTAAGTATCCCAGGCTGGCCTCAGCCTCTCAAGTGCTGGGATCACAGGTGTGTACCACAAGGCCCCATTTAAAATGTGTTTCTTAAAACAGGAATACCTACAGGTGTGGCTCGGTGCTAGAATACTGCCCTAGTATGGAGGAGAGCCCAGTTTCATTCCTTAGCTCCCTTCAAACAAAAAGCCCCAGAAACTGGGGACAGGACCTGGCCAAGGAACATAAAGTTTCTAGGGTGATGAAAATGGTGCACATGGTGACACCTTAGCGCTACCTAGGTGTGGATTTAATCAGGGTCCATTATGATTTGTACATTTCACTGTGTAACAGAAGCACATTTAGAAGTGACATTAGTCTGTTGCTGAAATACATCAAAATAGCCAGGCTTGGTGGTAAACACCTGTAGTCCCAGCAGTGGGAAGCTGAGGCAGGAGGATCACCAGGAGTTCAAGGCCAGCCTAAACCACATAATGAGACACTGTCTCAACAAAAAGTTTGTAATAGCACGGCATGGTGGCACACACCTGTAATCCCAGCAGTTGAGAGGCCGAGACAAGATGACTGCCATGAGTTCGAGGCCAGCCTGGGCTACGCAGTGAGTCCAGGGCCAGCCTGAACTACAAAGAGAGAGAAAAAAATGGATTGTAGGTCTATGATGGGAGCGTAAGTTACAGACACAGCCTGTGTACCAGGGGACCTTATTTGTCTTTCCGCCTGTTGGCCCCCTACTCTGCTCCACATTTACAAAATCAGGCAAAGACAGCTAGACCTAATCACAAGCAGCAGCTCAGTATCTAGCTTCTGGCCTCCACCATCCTCACCCTGCACTACAGAGATAAGCCCTAGGAACTGAGATGCATCTCACTTCTCTCCCACTACCTCGCTCCAGCCAGACCAGAGTGCAGCCCTGGGCTCCCAGAGCTGTGCTGAGGGCCACAGGTGTGCAGTGACTTCCACATAGCCCTGCCAGCCACTTCCTTCCCGATGCTGCAGGGTCCGGAGGGGCAAGAGGGGTCCAAGCAGCAGGATTCCATGAGCCCTGAAGAGCTGGGTCTGAGGACCATCCACAGGGCGTGCGGAATCTGGAACAGGACTCTAAAATGCATCTGGCCTCAAGGGTGTGGGGTTTAGAAGCAACAGAAGCTCGGGACTTGGGTGTGGCCAGCCTCAGCTCCTCACAATGGCAAGCTGGAAGGGAGCTGCCTGGTGCAGCAGGGCCCTGAGGACCTGCCTTGTAACGTCCACCCTGGAGCACAGGTCTTTTGGGGTGACCTTAGCCTTGGAGATGCCTCAGAAAGCCCTCTCGATCTGCTGCAGTGGTAGGGCCCAGGGGCCACTTTCCCACTTCACCCTGCCTCCCAGTCACAGCTGATTGGATGAGAGGTGTATAGTGGAGCCAAGCAGGCGCTATCCTCGAACCAGATCTTGGAAGCAGCTTTGCATATCTCTGGGGTGGTCACTTCTACCACTTGTGGTGTGGACAGGAGCAGCAGCAGTGAGCATGGGGCCCCAGAGGCAGACAGAAACAGCCTGGTTAGGTTTTTTTTGTTTTGTTTTTGTCTTGTTTTATTTTGTTTTTGTTTTTTGTACCAGGGATTGAATTCGTGTCCTTGTGCTTACAAGACAGGTGGTGGAACCACTGAGCTAAATCCCCAGCCCATTCCGGTTATTTTAACTAGGTTCCCACTTGGTTTCTTGGGAGGCCCAGCAGCCCTTCACGGTGCTTGAGATTTTTATGAACCAGCTGATTCTTCCCATACAATTGCCTCTTTTGCTTAAACTGCCTCTAGCTGTTTCTTTTGTCGATCCAAAGACCCTTGATTAAAGCATGGTCACAAAGGTCAACCCATGTAAGACTACATTAATGAAATACAGGGTCTAGAATAAAGAAGGTGAAAGTCCTCTTCTGCTCAGCTGATCCAGGCCCCATCCACAGGGTCCTCTTGGCATTGGGCATGGAATGCCTGGAAGGCACAATCTGGTAGGAGTCCTCTAGGGGAGACAAGAGGGGCAAGAGTCTGTGTCTGTGTGACCGGGAGTGTGGCTCGATGGCACAGGGATCCGTCCCGAGGACTGCCACTGTCTGGACGTGTGCCCCACAGAAACCTGGTGTATTGACGAGTGCCCACCAGGAAATTGGCTTCTGAGGGCCCACCACAGGTCGGGGCACTGACAGGCAGCTGTGCACCAGGCTGAGAACAGGATAGCCCCCATCGGCACTGCCGTGGTCACCATCATTGCCATCTTCATCGCCACCACTACCAACTCTTACTACCACCAGTCACCATCACCACCATCACTGCCACCGCTATCTTATCTGTGCTCAAGCAGACAGAGTTGCCAGAGGTCCTCACCTTGACCCACAGCCTCATCCTGTCCTCGCCTAACTTCCCCTGAGTCTCCCACCTAGTGCTGCTAAGTGTGTACTGGGTGCAGGTGGCTCGAAGTCTCTCCTCACCTGCTGCATCCTGCGCCTCTCAACTCATGAACATGATGACCCCCTCCTGTGTGTGCCGAGTGTCCCACTGTGGGAGCTTTTGGCGCCTGCAAGGTGCCTGTGTGTGTCCTGTAGCAGGGCTGGACACCTTCCCTGGCTGCCTTGGAGCAAGCCTCTCAGCAGTCCCCAGTGTGGGCAGAGAAGAAGCCAAGACTTGAGGGGCAGGCTGGGCACACTCCCACCGTGAGGACCCCTGAAAGCCACATCTGATGGAGACACTCAAGTTCCCAATGCACCGAGTCCTGCAGAGAGCCGACAGCCACCTGCAGCCCAGGCGAGCTCTGCTGGGCCTTGGCTGTGGCCCAAGCCATTAAGGAGGCTTTCGCCACGGGGAGCATCTGCTCATCGGCACTGCTCTGCCCTCTGCCCACACCTGCCAGATGGCCTGGTGCTCCCTCACCGACAGACACATTGGGACGGAGGCTCTGCTGCTGCCCGAGCACAGTGACCCAGACACCACCTCTCCCAGGCCACAGACTTCCCTTGTCTGTGCCAGGAGCCCATTGGGCCCACTTAGGCCTGGGTGCTGCCCCACACACGCCTCAGCACACAGGGCTTTAGAGTCTGAGTGGTGAGGGCTCACTTCCCCGTGGTCCCTCCAAGGGCATCTGGCCCTGCTGTGTCCAGTGGCAACAGGAAAGACAGTGGCTACTCGGAAAAGAATCAGATGCAGCAATCTTTGTTTTTGTTTTTTTTCATTTTTTGAGACAGGGGCTCACTGTATAGTTGAGACTGACCTGGAACCCACTATGTAGCCCAGGCTGGTCTCAAACTCACAGTGATCCTACTGCCTCAGCCTCCCAAGTGCTGGGATTACAGGTGTGCGCCACCATGCCTGGCCTGGATGCAGCAATTTTAATGCTGTTCATTACATTCAGCACGTTGTCTCATAGCACATAATATGAAATTTATTAGTATTTCACATTTTTCTCATCACTATCTTCATATTTACCACCGCCATTATCACATTCACTAGTTTCAAGGGGCCAAGTCTTTGAGATCTAGTGTGTGTCCCAACCCAGGGCTCGCTGTCCTCCCACTCGGAGAGGGCGTCAGTGCCCCGGCTGCCCTTGAAGTGCCCTCTTGGGATAGCTCTGAAGGTCCATGTCCAGCCAGGGGTGAGCTGCACCCTCAAAATCAGGAGAACTCCACTGGTGAGACCGTCACCCACGCCCAGGGTTGACTGAGCACCTACCACATGCTGTGCCATGCAGAGCCCAGGGCAGTGGGTGATTTAGGGTGAACAGGCCAGTGTCGCCTCTCTGGGGCAGCCACAAGCCACACACAGGCACATACCTGCAATCCCAGCTGCTCTAGAGTCTGGGGCAGGAGGTGGTTTGAATTTGGGGCCACTGAAGTCTGGTCTCAAAAACAAGGAAGCCCAGGGTTGGGGCTGGGCGGTTCAGTGGTTGGGGCCTGGACGAGTGTGGCATTTGGCCTCTGAGGTCTGGAAGATGTCCTCTGCCAGGTGGGTAATGTTCCAGGGAGAGGCCCTGCAAGGTCTTTGTGGCCTGCGGTGCATTGTGCTCACCCCAGGAGCCAAGGGGCCACTGCACGGCGACCTGGACAGCGGCTGCTGCCATGATCTGTCCCCTCAAGTCAGCTGCTGGTCCTGCAGCACTGCATGAGCCCGGACTGAGACCCAGCACCTCCACAGCAGGCTTCAAGTGCTGGAGACATGAAGCCACCACACATGGGAGAATAAATAAGTGGGTAAATAAATAAAAGATAAGGAGTAGCTGGCATCCCAAGGGAAGTGTTGCGGGGGTGAGGCACTGGAGCAGGCCCACAATGCTCAGATAGCAAGGCAGGATTGGCTGCCTGGGACCTCCACCTTTCACAGGGAAGGGAGGGATCCTGGGGCTGGGTACCGGGAGCTCCCCACCCTTCTCTGCTCCCAGAGAAGCCCCCAGGCTCAAGCAGACACTGGGCCTCCTGGCTTCTTTATGTGGCAGCTGGACAACAGTGTGTAGCCTCAGCCAGGGGACACCAAGAGGGCCAGGCCAGCAGGGAGGCAGGGGCTGCTTGGGAAGGCTCCCAGCAGGGGCAGGGGCTGCAGGGAGGCCAGGACTTGTTGGATCCAAACACTGTATCTCAGTGGCATTTAGGCTTGATTCTCCGTAGCAGCTACTTAGCCCTGGACTGCTAGTTAGTCATCTTTGGCACTTTGACAATCTCTGGACACACATTCTTCACCTCTGAAGAGCTCCGCAGGGAGCTGAGCAGGCCTTCTCACTTTGCAGTGAACATTTTGGATGCAGACAGACAGGTTCTTGGGGAGGGAGCTGGCCAGCGTTTGAACCCAGACTCCCCAGGAAGGTCTGCGCTTCTGGTTTCTGGCTTTCTGGAAAAGGACAAGCTGGTGGGTCTGGGCTCCAAGTCTCTCCTGATCTCTGCGGTCCCTGGCCGAGTCTGGCATCCAGACTGAGTGCAGTTGCCGTCTTGCCCTCTCCCCTTCTCCTTTCTGCCCACTTCACGGGTGGGTGGAGTCGAACTTTGGTGGCTCAGGCGAGGTGGACTCAGACCAGACATGGCCTCTCCGCTGGAGGGGACAGCAAGGTGCTCGGGCTGGTCTGCGGTCACCGCCATCCGAGGCAAAGGTATCAAGCCCAAGCCCCAGGTCAGGCCCACTGGACTCAGCAGGCTGACGGCCGGGCCACCCTGCTTCCTCCACCCCAACCACCAGGCATGGCCACTGCTGGCGCCTGTCTCACTGGCTGGATTCCCAGCCACCCACGGTCCCCAGGGGGCGCTGCGCCCTCACAGCTCGGGATCAAAGCGAAAGTCGCTCTGCCACGCGGGGCGCAGTTGCGCGTGGGGGTAGCGGGGTGAGTGGGCGCGGGGAGTCTCCGTGTCCGCGCGCTCATCCACCGCCCGCACACTCGG